GTTCAGGATTCCCTTTTTCCGCGGATCAGGGTGCTCTCAGGCCTAGCCAGACCTCGAATGCCCGTTCAACAACAGAGCTGGATGGGAAAGGCGCCCCGGATCGCATGTCTGGAGCGTGCGTTTCCCCCAGACGAGAATCCCCAACGTGAGCGGCTGGTAAAGACAAGGCAGAAATTCGACCAGGTAACCCACAGGACGAGGATTGTATGCCAAGCATGCCACCCGCAAATGTGCAGAAGACCAGGGACATTTAACTAAAGCAAGCGGCCCTTAAAAACGGGCAGGCGTCATTGTGCTTTACACAGACCTCAGTTTGATTCACCGTAACCCACAGCTCGCATTAACTTGACTACAACTGGGAACACAATACAATGTAGACCTGTTATGACCCCAGAGTGTGAGCTAATATCTAGTGTAAACATGGCTGAGATCATGGACTCTGGGTACGTAATGCAGTGCTGTGCAGCCTCACGGCTGACAACACCACGACGAGCATGACAAGGTCCGGGGCGAGTCTACAAAACCCACGTTCCAGATGCTCACCACGCAACCACCACTACCGTCTCCGACAGCTAACCCCCCCCCACCAGCCCAGCGGGGTTTCCAGGTAGAGCCTGATTGTTTATTGGGAATGCTGGGAAGCAAGATTTCCTAGCGTATGGCCAACATCACGGATATTTATACTACAAACACAATGCATGAAAAGTACTACCTTTAAATGTATACAGAAAGCAGACGGCTGTTTCAGCTATAAAGAGACTCGTATTTCTAGTAAACAAGGAGTAAAAAGGCTACATAAAAGCAGAGAAGCACTAATTACGCTTGTATACTGGAGTGACAGAAAATAAGTTTCCCTCCCTAGAGAGACAAGCACGATCTTATCCTGCGACCTCGGGCTGCGCGAAAACATGCAGCGAGGTCATCGCTTCCCCGCCCCTCCTCCGTGCCATGGGCCCCTAGGAAGGGCTTCGACACCCCACTGAGAACGAGAGCAGGCCAGAAGAGTGACGCGACGCCCCCCCCCAGCTCCCAGAAAGCAAGGCACGATCGGAGCGCAGAAAGTGCCATGAAAGGTACGGGGTCCTTCAAAACCGCAAGACGCTGTTATTTTTTTTTCTTCCTGTTATAAAAACATACTTGTCGACGTGGGCGGGTCCTATTACAAGTTAGCATCACATTTCGCTTACTGTAGCCACAGGTAAGCAGACTGCAAACTGTGGGGGGAAAAAAAATAAAAAGAGCCCAATTGAGTTGGTAAAACAGGCCATACCATAATCTTCTTCCAGACTTGCCTGGGCAGAGATCTGACTCTCCCTCCTGTCAGATAAGCACCTTGTGGAAGGAAGAAAAAAAAAAATCTGCAAGCTTTTAAATAAGAAGCTTTGCAGAGGTCTGCAGTGTGCCCGATTTAAATGGAAGGTGTCGATGTTTAAGGGGATAAGGTGGTCTAGCTACAGGCCACGGGGCCGCAGCGTGAATTTTGCGTGAAATCGTTATGTTAACGAAGAGGCCGTGACTGACAGGGCAAGCTTCTCGGGGGCGATTTGCCATGGCAGCGAGGAAACGCCTTCACAAAGATAATCTATCACCAGCGTATGTCAATATACGCGCGCAGGGATTCTGACGTTCGCGGAGAATACTTGCACGACCTTGTCGAAAACGAGTGTAACTATTTTTACACAGCTTAAAGAAAATGCAGGAAATATGAGATTCATTTGCAGATTGCACCATGCTCTTTTGGAATCCTGACAGGATCTGCGCGTCCTTGGGGCAAAAAGGTGCATATCTCGACGTTAATGGCAGAACGCAGGATACTTTGCACACCACCCGGGACCCGTGTCAGGTGAAGGCAACAAAACAGTCTTGGCTCAGCTGATCTGATGAGCACTCAGGAAAACACCACAAATTCATTGATAAAAAAGATTCCAGCCCCCACCCCCCCAAGAAAATCAGCATAAATCTAGGTTACTGAACTGCATGTTAAACATTATATTGATACTTACTTATTCAGCAGACACTTTTTTCCAAAGAGCTGCACAAGTAATGATCGGGGGTTAAGGGTTTTGCTCAAGGGCCCCAATGGTGAATTCACTCTGCCTCATGTGGGATCTGAACCAAGAGTATAGCATCTGAACCCACAAAGCCACGCGTCACCCCCAAGATAGCTGGGTGTTGACTTCCAAAGGGGAATCTGTACCCCATGAAGAACACAGATGTATAGGACATCCGCAGATATGGCTCAGACCGTAAATTAACAGTCCTCCTGCTACTATAACCTGCGACATTAAAGTAATCTTGCCTCACTATCTCAAACCAGATAACGCTAAACGTGACCACACCCGTCAGGGACAACTGGGCTGTTTACAGATGGTGGCAGCAAATGAAAACTAATTGTTCACCGCACAAGTCCACAGCACGGGGAAAATAACACTCACAGAAGTAAAACTGTTTAATTCTTTTATCGATTCAGAGCCGTTGCCCTGTGTTTATGAATAACCCTTTGTGTCCAAAAGTCTGCAGAGTAACATTTTGTATAATGACTCTGCTTTCAGATGCAGTCATTTTACAAATGGCTTTAATAAGGAGAAATTACATTTAAAATAGGGGGATTTTGGTGGATCAGAGTGACAAGGGGGGAAAAAGACCATGTGATTCATACAATTAAACCTTTGAGAAGAGGAATTAGTATTCGACGAATAGCAAGAGCAAGGAGACATATTAATGAGGTTTTCATTTCAAATAACATTCAATTTCGATATAAAAAATTATACTCAGTGAAGCTACACGGTAACACCTCATTAAACTAATCTTTATAAGTAATTAACCAAAATTAACAAATAGGCATTTGTTCCCAGATAAATGAAATTTCTCCCAGGGATAAGTTATCACCCAACAATGCATCAAAGAGTGACTAACAAAACTCAAATCTCGCACCTGGCTCCGTCCCCCTCCCTTGGCTGCGGTGCCTCTGGTTGAAATTTTAAACAGATGTTGACAAGGGGAGTTACCACCGTTCCCAGTGTATCCCAGTCAACATTACATCACCACACGAGCCACAACCCACCGACATCCCACAGCCCAAAATAATACACGAGAAACAACAAGAATGAACGTTACAGCTCCGAATCAATTATTTCGGCTCTAAATCCATTAGCAAAGCAGACAGCAATCTCATATACCCCAGGAAAAAAAAAGGGGGGGGCAGTGCATTAATTGACATGGTGCCTAAGAGCCTATCTCCACATGCTAGTTCCTGCTAATACAAACAATTCCCAAAAAGGCCTGCAAAACTGAGGCTGGGTTCAATCACATGTACAGTTATTTTTAGACAATTCAAAGTTGGCCGGCCCTTTTTAAAATAAGCGGCATATAGTAATCCCTGCATGCTCTCCGAAACAGGGGGGGCCCAGATGGATGGTGAGGTAGCACGTTTTGTCAAAAGATGATGATTGTTGGTGTGGATTGTGCCTATTGATGTGTGAAAAGGCTGATGTTTAGTCACTTAACACTGCTCTGACGCATCATGTCATTAGGCTTTGACACCAAATATAGATATAATGCTGTTTCACTTATTATATATTAATCTGAAAATAGTGAATTAAGAAAACGCTCCTTCATTTGTGATGTGCACGTTTCCTAACACACAAAAGTATAAAGAAAAATTAACAAACATATATTCATTCGTTAAACTTATGAATTTTATCACGGATTCATGCACAAAACTGTAGAACTACAATTTTATTATGAATCTCACAACACGGGTTAAGTCGACATGCGTCTGCATGAATAGTTCCTCGTGTATTGCACTGCACACTACATCTGGGATTACACACTACATCTGAAATTTTTATTAATTACCAATGACAAATGGTATTTAATTGCAATTATGTATATACTGTGAAGGCATGCATGTCAAATCTGGGCTGTCATCTAAGTTCCCACACAGACAGACTTTCTGTAAACGCTCCAGCAGCTGATTCTGCTTCATTAAAACGTTTGCACTGGGGTTGCCAGGCATTTGACAGGGATGTCACAGCACAAGACCTGTCATTATGGGACTGCAGGTTGAGAATCCAGGAGACACTCCTGATGTGACACTTTAGGAAAACATAAAACGCTGAAATGAAAAGTCCATCAGTACAAAGGCAACACCATATCGCGGCGTTTTCTTAGATGTATTAATCTATACAGTGCTGGTGCTTGTCGATGTGGCGCCCTAGGCGAGCATGACAGCCGACGCCCCCTTCCATTGGCTGCCAAGTCGGCGCCCCCACAGAAGTTAGCGCCCTAAGCGACCGCCTATGTATGTCGCCTCTGAATCTACATTAATCGTACGTTATCACTCGTGTATTTAACTTCGATGAACAGAAGCCTGAATTTCCAGATTAGGATTATAAAATTTATATGATATTAAATTAACCAAAACTGTTACTTTAACTAGATCCAAAAATTTGAATACTTCACACCGCCACTAATTCGAGCCAACGGAAGAAATGTACGAAGTTCTATCTAAGTTTTGTTAGCAGTAAAACAGGAGAGACTGCTGGAACTGTGCTGTCTGAAAGTGCTGACGAGGTATATATAGCACTATCCCAAAGCTGTTAAAAGTGAAAAAGCGGATTAAAGGCAGCGCTGTTTTACAGGGAGCTAGTGTCCAAGGTTCAGCCCCGGCCCGATCCCCGAGGAGGGGCACTCACGTTTGGTGGCATTGATGAGGTTCTTGCCGTCCTTGTACAGTTCTTTGATAAACCTGTTGGTTTTATCTAGCTCCGCTTCGTGGGCTCTGATCCGCTCCCTGAAGGACGGACTGTCCAGGTAGCAGTCGCTGAACTCCAGCGGCTGGAGCCCCATGGCTCTCGGGGGGGGCGGAGACCTGCCGTGCGCGGCACTGCTTCGCCTAGCGCCTTGGATCCCCAGTCCTCCGGACGGGACCCCGGGAGCACGAGCGTGAGAGCGATCCGACCCGCTAACTAAGTACCTCAGCGGGGTTGTTTCTCTTCTGGAATATGTGTTAACACTTGTTATTCGGTGCAAATCCTTCCCCAGTCCCGTGCATCGGTTAAGAAAAAAGTCCTTTTAAAGTTAATAAGTTTTTTTTGTAAAACGGACGGCTTGCTGGCCGCGCGACCCTTCCACTCAGCTCCGCCTGTGAGCTGCAGCGCGTAGCCGATCCTGGGCGTACGGGAGCGGCTCACCGGCCTGCCCCCTGCCCTCCCCTCTCCGCGGACCGGGGCTGGGTCTCCTCCTATTGGCTCCTGGGAGAAACGCCACTTGCAACAGGAGTACCGCCTTTACAGCTGATCGACTCCGACCGGAATAAGTTATCTCATGCGTGTGACGGCGCTGGCCTTTAATTTAATGTTTAAAGTCGATATAAAAATGCTCGTGGGTTGTTTAGGAAACTTGAAAAATCGGGGATGTTGTAATGCAAATACAGTTTTCTTAAAAACAAAGAATTGCTTCCGCAGAATGTTACGTCTTCGCGGAGGATGTGTCGTGATTGGTGGCGTAACTGAACCCCAACTTTGGATCTAACGGGATCGCGAAGCAATAGGAACCCTAAAGCGATGAGTCCGCGATTCTCATCGGACGTATTTACACGACGGACGGGGCCAGGCGTAGCGTAAGCTGATGCTGCGATTCGAAGACGGCATTTTATTATACTAATAATTATTATTATTTAATCATTGGTCAAAATGCTTTAGTGAAAAACAAAGCCAAAGAACGATAACAGTTTTACTAGGGATCGCATCACAGAAAGCTGAAGTAAGTAACGCATTTTAGAAGCAGCTTCATGTTGAAACATTGAGATTTTGATCAACTAAATGCAAATAGTAAACTACATTGTATGGGCGATCGTGTGGTTATAAAGGCTGTTTTGATATCTTGACTGTGCTACCTGTTGGCTTGTAGATTACTCACCTGAGTCGTTACATTGTGATGCGCAGTTATGTAATTTGTTCTCCAGTTCTTAGTCGTATTTAGGGCATCGGTCCTTACAACTCATAATGAAAAGGCGATGTATTTAATTTAGTTTTATGGTTAATTTACGTAATGTCGTCGACACCGTTGACGTTTTCGTTTTGAATTAAGCGTCGTGCCTTTCTTGGTATTAGTGCTTTTGCGCATTTTGAATGTTATCCTCTGAACATCACGGGCGACAATTCTATGCAGCAATAATAAATATAACGTAAAAACCGATTTCTTACGGTCGTTCTGAGACTTACTTTGCACACATTATATATTGTAGGTTTCCGCATTATTTTGCTGATTGTACAGCGTCCAATAATTATGGCACAGTGCAAAATTTGAGTAAAGTCATTCGCTAAATAAGAATCAGGTGTATTTGACCAAGTATGTTTGCACTTACAGGGAATTTGTATCTCAACCATACAACAGATAAATACACAGTCAATAAAATACAAGAAAACAGCAGTTTAAAAATGATTATTATTAACATAAAAACCATTATAACACTTGTTGGCTTTCCATATCTTTGACCGAGTTTACTGCTGTACACCAGGAATGCCGAATGCAACCACACGGCCGAAGAGGGTGAGGCGAAGCAGACGGACACCCAGGGATGATGATGCCAGAAACGAGCTGGTATGGAGGTCCCTGGAAAGTGCTCAGCAATGTCTTCTCAACCAGGACTATGGGACTGCGTTTGTCCACTATCTGCTGGCGCTGAACCTGGCGCCGGGTCTGAAGGACTATGCGAGGGTAAGCGCCGTGATTGGATGGATGTTAAGATCTATCAAATGCAGAGGTGTAAAGTTCAGGTCCAGAGAGTACAATTCCAGACCGAGATTTCGTTTCAACCAACCAGTTGAGTACAAAGAGTGACAGTCACAGAGTACTCAGCTGGTTGGTTGAAACGAAATCATGGTCTGGATTTTTACTCCCTGAACCTGAACTTTCCACCTGTGCGGTTATGAAAGGAATGGGTTGGGTCTGACTGTCAGGAACCGTCCCGCTGTGCTTGTAAATGAGGCCCAGGCTCTGAAAGGCCTCTGTGGACATCCAGCTGTGACCTGCTATGTTGTCAGCGGAGCTGATAAATAATGCAGAAAGGTGTGCCATTTCCAAAAGTCACACTGCCTATGCAGCCGGCACAACATAAAAGGTAGCGCCCCCTGCAGGAGTCCTTCCGGGTCACCCTCTTCAAATGGACAGAAGAACTGGACTCCCTTGGCCGCGTCCAGGACCTCTTTGACTGCTATGAACAAGCCCTGGAGCTCTTTCCAGTCGATGAGGTCATCGTCAACAGCATGGGAGAGCACCTCTTCAGGTACGGTTTACAGTCCATCACCCAAAACCGCCTTTCCAGTGCGGGGTCACCTTGAGCCTGGGGCCCATCCCATGTGACGGGGGACAGGGACACCCTGGACAGGATGCCAGTGTGTCTCCAGGCACACGCTATAGGCAATTCAGACATTTGTCCAGTTAGCCGAATGATTTTGGGCTGCTGGAAGAAATCGGAGTAACACACAGGAAACATGGGGATCCTGAGGCCACCATGCTACCCACTGAGTAACGATTCTGTGTGTGTGTGTATGTATATATATATATATATATATATA